CTGGATTCCACTCTTATTGCCAGTGAATGTGTGGATTATAGGCTAAGTAGCGGTGTTCCTGGAATTCTGTGTAAGCTTGATATTGAGAAAGCTTGTGATCATGTTTGCTGGAATTTTTTGTTTTATCTGTTAGAGAGGATGGGTTTCGGAGAGAGATGGAGGAGATGGATTGACGCATGCGTTTCCTCTGTTAGATTTTATGTGTTGGTGAATGGGTCTCCATCTGGGTTTTTTTGGCAGTTCTCGTGGTTTGAGGCAAGGGGACCCACTCCTCCCCATTCCTATTCATTATTGTTATGGAGGCTCTTAGTAGGTTGATGAGAAGGGCTGTGGATTTGGGATTTATCAGGGGCTTCAGGATTGGTCCAGATTCGGTTCAGCAGATGAAGATCTCTCACTTGCTTTTCGCGGATGACACTTTGGTTTTTTGTGAGGCAGATGTGTCCGAGATATTTAAGATGTGTCCTGGTCTGCTTTCAGGCAGTCTTAGGTTTGAAAATCAACATGGGCAAGAGTGTGCTTGTTCCAGTGGGGGAGGTTCAGGAGGTGGCGTCTTTTGTAGCGGTTTTAGGGTGTGGGACGAGCTCTTTCCCTATTTCTTACTTGGGCTTGCCGTTAGGTGATTCGTCAAGGAGGGTGGGAAGTTGGGACACGGTGATAAGAGTGTTTCGAGAGAAGGTTGGCTGGGTGGAAAAAGCAATATCTTTCGAAGGGAGGGAAAGTTACTTTGGTGAAGAGTACATTGTCGAGTCTTCCAACTTAATTTATTTCGCTTTTCTAGACCCCCTCCTCTATTGTTGGAAGACTTGATGCTTCAATGGAACTTCCTCTGGGTGGACGGGGGGGAGGAGTTTAAATTTCATCTTGTCTGATGGGAGCGAAGGTCTTGGGATTAGGAGATTGGCCCCTTTTAATAGAGCACTCCTAGGCAAGTGGTTATGGAGATTTGGTAGCGAAAGACATAGGTTATGGAGGAAGGTTATTTCATGTCGTTTTGGGGAGGAGAGAGGGGGATGGTCATCTAGGCCGGTCAGATTTGCTGTCGGCGTAGGGGTTTGGAAATCCATTGGAAAGGGATGGGATAAGTTCTCTAAGCATATTAGATTCAGAGTTCGGGAAGGAAGGGATGTCCAGTTTTGGGAGGATACTTGGTGTGAGGATCGCCTATTGTCTTGTTTGTTCCCAAGGTTGTTCAGGATTGCTGTTGATAGACATGCTTTGGTAGCTGACTCGATAGCGGTAGGTTGTCTTGGGATGTGCGTTTCCGGCGATCCTTTTAGGATTGGGAGTTGGACGATGTCACTGGCCTGCCGGACCTTTTGTATAGACAGGAGGTGGATGGTACTGGTTTGGATTCCTTTACTTGGGTGCCTTCTTTGCAGGGGACTTTTTAGGTCTGTTCCTTTTTTTCTTTGCCTCTACGGGTTTCACGGTTCCAATTTCCCATGGAAAATGGTTTGGCATTCGAAGGCTCCTCTTAGGGTGGCCTTTTTTGTTTGGACTACAGCTTGGGGCATGATTTTGACTCTGGACAATTTGAGAAAGAGAAGACAAATCATAGTCAACTGGTGTTGTCTGTGTATGAATTATGAAGAGTCTGTGGATCACCTTCTTTTGCATTGTCCCGTGGCTCATGACTATTGGAGTTTTATTTTCGGTCTGTTTGGCTTCTAATGGGTTTTTTTTTTGATAAGTAAAAGATATATTAACAAACGTGCTCAGAGGGGAGCAAACCCTTAACAAAACAAATAAAACAAAAACGCAAACGCGGCAATACAACGATAAGTTGTCAACAAAATCCAAAAAACTATCTACAGATTGGCAATTTTTCCCATTAACCAAGAATAAATAGAATGCAAAATATTCGCCTTGATAACCCACACCGACGACTCCTGTCTTTCGAAAGATCTCCTATTCCTCTCATGTCACAACCCCCACCAAATACAAAGAGGTGCAACCCTCCACGCCTTCCTAACCCGACTTTCCACTCGACTCCCTCTCCAAGCTTCTAACATATCCAACATGTTACTTGACACTACCCATTCCACCCCAAAAACATTCAGCATCAGACTCCAAACATCCACTGCCACTTTATAATGCAGCAAAAGCTGATTAACCGATTCGCCCGCCTTCTTACACATGCAACACCAATTAACTGTTATTCGGTGTCTTTTTCTGAGATTATCCAAAGTAAGAATGCTGCCAAGCGCCGCTGTCCACGTAAAAAAAGCCACCTTTATTGGAGCTGAAGTCCTCCAAACAGCCTTCCAAGGAAACCCATTGCTTATCGAATTCGTAAGACTTTTATAAAACAGCCTCACCTTAAACACCCCTCTAGAGTCCCCCTTCCACACCATCTCATCCCTTCCTTCCCCCTCCACCGCTTGACTATAAATTAATCCCATTAATTCGGTAAGCTCAAATAACTCCCAATCATTAAAATTTCTACGAAATCTCACATCCTAACTAGCTCTCCCATTCTTTAAACTAAAATAATCTGCCCCCACCACATGCTTCACCTCAACCATCCTATAAAGTCTAGGAAACCTACAAGCCAACGCCACATGCCCACACCAAACGTCCGTCCAAAACCTTACAAAACTACCATCCCTAACTCGAAATCTTATCCTCTTAGAGAATTCGTCCCACCCCCTCCTAATACCTTTCCATCACCCCATACCTGCTGATGCATTTCACACCTCCGGACACCCAACCTCCCTCCTCTTTCCCAAACCGACAAGCAATAACACGCCTCCAAAACACGGACCTTTTGCATCCAAATCTCCATAACCATTTCCCTAACAGAGCTTTGTTAAACATTTCCAACCTGCGCAGTTCCAAGCCTCCTCTTTGAATCGGGGTGCACACTTTCTCCCATTTCACAAGGTGGTACTTAAACTCCGCCCCCCACCCCCCCCAACCAAAAAAAAAAAAGTTCTGAATAACCACGGTTTTAGGGATTGGAAACAAAGACATGAAATATGTAGGAAGGTTAGCTAAAGTACTCTTCAGTAATGTAAGTTTACCCCCTTTCGACAAATATTACTTCTACCACCCAGATAACCTCTTTTGAAAACGTTCCACCACTGGATCCCAAACAACAACTCTCCTTGAGGAAGCACCCAATGACAGCCCCAAATAAGAAAAAGGAAAATCCTCCACTTCGCAACCCAAAATAGCTGCCAACTCATGAATATGACCCACATCCCCTACTGAAACAATCACACTCTTCCCAATATTAATCTTCAACCCCGAAACCACTTGAAAACAGGCCAAAACACACCTCAAGTGTCTTACTTGATTCACACTAGCATCACAAAACACAATAGTGTCATCAGCAAATAGCAAGTGAGAAGTACAAATCTGATTTGGCGCACGGCCCACTGCAAAACCTTGAATAAAGCCTAGAACTTTTGTCCTTTTTATGAGTCTACTAAAGGCTTCCATTACAATAATGAATTGAAAAGGGGACAATGGGTCCCCCTGACATAACCCTCTCGAACTTGCAAAAAAACCTGCTGGTGACCCATGCACTAAAATAGAAAAGCGAGCGGTCGAAATACATTAATGAATCCACCCCCTCCATTTGGTGCCAAACCCCATCCTCTCCGTCACATGCAATAAGAACACCCAGTTCTCATGGTCATAAGCTTTTTCTATGTCCAATTTACACACAATCCCCGGTTCACCACTCCTAACTCTAGCATCAATATATTCACTAGCAATAAGAACCGGGTCGAGAATTTTTCTTCCACCAACAAACGCATTTTGAGACTCCGATTTGACCCCATCCATCACTTTCCTTAACTTGTTAGCCAAAATCTTTGCAATAATCTTATAAACCGCACCCACCAAACTAATTGGTCTGAAATCCTTAGCTTCAACCGCTCCCCCCTTCTTAGGTATAAGAGTAATAAAAGTGGCTTCCAATGGGTCATGCCCTGGACTTCAAGGGATTTGATTGACGTATGGAGGGGCCAAAAGGTGGGGGCTCATGCTCGTGACTATTGGAGGGTGACCCCCCTTTGTGTTTGGTGGAGTCTTTGGAAAGAGCGGAATGGAAGATCTTTTGATGGGGGGGAATTCTCCATTGGGAAGTTGTCTATTATTTGTTATCTTTTTAGTTGGGTTATGGGGAGAAATTATATATCTTTAGATGAAATCGTGAACTTTTTGGGTTCTTTGGGTCCATAGGACTCCCTTTTTTGGTTTCGGTATTTGTACAGCTCTTGGGATGTGTTCCCCTTTTGAACGCTTTCTAATACAATTTTACTTATCAAAACAAAAAAAGTACTAGATGAACTTCCACAGGTTATTTGTTAAATGATGAACCGGTGCATTTGCCTTTTGGGTCATTTGCATGGGTGTGTGTTAAAATAATGGACTGGTGCATTTGCTCCCTGATTTCATTGGACGGTAGAATGCACTTGCAACAGTCACTCATGCCCCTTGGACTGGTTCATTATTACATTGTCCAACTGAAACATTTAAGAAAATTGTTCAACTTTTTGCAATAACATGAAAAGCAAAAACATGTTCTATAAGCGCTTTGGTGTACAAACACTCAATTACATGTTTTTAATGCCTGTGTTCACTCCAATGAATCTTGAACATTTTGATCACAAATAGGATTTACCTTTGAAGCTTAAATTACAGCTCAATTTGGTTCCGAAATTAAAATTCGCTTACACAAAAAACTAGAATACCTAAGATAAGTTTCATTATGAAATTATTCATTGTAATCTCTGTTATCATGAATTAAAATGTGCAATCATATCTAGGAATAACTTGAAACATGAAAATTACAGTATAACATTGATCTACTCATTCAATCATTAATGCCTTTCTGTGTATGGTAACAAGTATAAAAAATTGGTTTTACCGAACCCTCATAACATAATTAAAAATGTGATAGCTGCTGTCTTCCAGGTTTTTTTTTTTGACTTTCTTTTTATTGTTTAATGATGAACTTAAAAGAGTTAGGTTTTGTTCTTTTGCAGGCTGGTTATGTTGGAGAAGATGTTGAATCAATATTGTATAAACTGCTTGTGGTATGTTTTGTTTTTTTCCATCCAAGTAGTCTTAAGAAAGTATTTGAAATTTTACTTCTTATTTTTCAAACATCGGGGACTGGGTTGCTTCTGATTTACATTTGCTGTTCAATGCACTATAGTTAAAAATTTAGTTTTGTATTCTCTTGAGGAAAGACAAGTAATATTTGATAAAGTAGGTCCTTTGCATATAATTTCCAAGAGTGAAGATTTCATACTTGGCATATAAATGTAAGAGCTGAAATTAGTGTCTTAAATTATTTCAGAACTGAATGTTAATGAAAATTGGAATTATTACTTACCACCAAAAAAAGAGAAAAAAAGAAGAAAAGATTGGAATTATTGCCTTCAGCCCTCAATTCATTAATTTGTTGCCCCCTTTCGGCTGGTTGGTAAGATAGCTCAATTGATGATTGTGATTAATTTGGTTGGATGTAATTATTATTTTGCATGCAAATGTTCTATTGTCTAGAAGCTTTCTAGAGGTCACACTATCTACATGTTTACATTTTGAAGTGATTGTTTATGTCCATCAGTTGATTTTAGGATCTGCCTTTTAGCACAGTTCTATTAGTTTGTAGTATATAGTCCTTTTAGTTATTGGCTGATAATGGAGGGCACCATTGTTAAAAAATCATTGATCAAAGATGGTGACATTCTTAGATTATGTGCAAAAATGGCGAGGAAACGGTTGATCATCTTCTTTTACATTGTCCAGTGGTCCATTGTTGGCTTTTGTTTTTGGGTTTGTTTGGGAGAGTAGGAAAAACACCAGTGCCACTGGTGGCGATGAAATAGGCTCATGCAGTGGTACATGTTGTAAAGCATAAAACGGAAGTAGAGATAAATAAAACAAGTAGAACACACAGATATTGCGTGGTTTAGCCACTAGGGCCTACATCTACAGTACAAAGAGCCCAAAGGGCTACATCACTTTTATAATACTCTCTCAATTCATGAACAATACAATGGTAGAGACTCCTTTATATAGGAAGCAAAATGATGAGAATGGAAAGAGATAGAAATAGGAAACAAGGAGGATTTTTCTCCACTGATTCCTATAGTACCAACAAATCTTCAATAATAGGAAACTTCATCAATTATTGAGGATTTTCCTCCATTGATTCATTCATTAAATCTTCAATACTCCCCTTCAAGTTGGAGCATGAATGCCCAACTTGTCATTGAGATGATGAGTAGTAGCAACCGCAAATGATGAAGAGAGTAGAGATGGTGAAGAACAATGCTACCGAACACACCGGCAGCCCAAACAAGTCAACAAAAATTGCTGGAGACACGGCAAAGGCAAAGAACAATGCTACCGAATACACCGGCAACCCAAACAAGTCAATAAAAGCTGCCACAGACACGACAAAGGTGAAGAACAATTCTACCGAACACTCTGGTAGCCCAAACAAGTCACAAATAGCACCGAGAAACCCTTAGGAACATTTCATATGCTAAGGAAATACCCCAAAATAGGAGTCTGAACCTAGGTTGAGAAAGTAGGCTCTGATACCATGTCGCAAAGCATAAAACAGAAGTGGAGATAAATAAAACAAGTAGAACATACAGAAAAAGGGTACAAAGAAAGGAACCAAATCCAAGAAAAACATAAAATATGCCAAAGTCTACGTGATCCAATGATTAAAAGGATTTTATCTACGGGATCCCATGATTAGGGGGATCTTATCTACGTGATCTTATGATTATAGGGATCTTACATAAAACACCTAATAAAAGGCTAAAAACAACTAATAAAAATAAAAATAATAATAATAAAGATATTTCAACACTCCCCCTCGAGCTGGAGTGAAGATATCAATTAAGCCCAGCTTGGTAATCGAGGAATGAAGCAAGGATGGACCAATATATTTTGTGTACACATCGGCCGAGTGATTAGAAGACCGAACAAAGCATGGCTTGATAATTCCCGAACGAACCTTCTCTCTAATAAAATGAATGTCCACCTTTATATGTTTAGTCCTCTCGTGAAGAACATAATTTGAAGCAAGCATGATGGCTGACTTATTATCACAAAACAAGTCTGAGGACTGGTTTTCACCTAGCCTTAGCTCCTCCAAGAAAGATCGAAGCCAGAGAATCTCACAACTACCCTGAGCTATGGCATGATACTCAGCCTTTGCTGAAGATCTTGAAACTACAGGTTGTTTTAGCATCGTCGATTAGTAGATCTCCTATTGTGGATAAATGGAACAACAAAGGTAAATCACTCCGCCATGATCACTGCTTTTCAAGCAAAGAAAAAGAAAAGTGGATCGCTCGAACCACCAATTCTTTGGGCTCAGATGATGGAAATCTTGTTGTCAGAGATGAGTGCCAAGGTAATTTAATAAGGGTTAGAGGTCGCAGCAGGCAATGATCTATGCAGGAAAAACAGAAATGGGTTTGTCGAAACGCCATGAAGCATCATTCACAACCTTGTATGTTTTCTCGTTCCCATTCTCGGAGTTCCTCTTTAGCTCCTTCTTCTTCTACTCCTTATAGTGGGGTGTTGAGGGGAGGTGATGGGGAGGATGCTGAAGGGAGAATGGAGGAGGTTGAGATTCTTTCACCGGTGGTGGAAGTGGATGCTGAAGGGGAGGTAGTGTCTATTCATACAGAGGACGAGGTGGGGCCCTTGAATTGTTCCAAAGATAACAGGATGCTTGCCATAGTAGATGCCTTGCCGGTTACTGAGGATGGGGTAATGGTATGTGTTGGAAGGGATACAAAGTTCCAGTTGACTAATGAGGCCGCATCAGTTCTGGTGAAGGAATTGCAGATTTATAAAGGGTTGAAGGGGTTGAATCGACTTTTGGATTTCGAATCTGAAACTGTTGGAAATAACTCGGATGGGGATGTTGTTACACCTATGGTGGGCAATGGAGTTGTCTTTACGGCTGACGAAGGTCGATGTAGGATGGGAGGGGACAATGACAGGGAGGGTTTGGAAATGGTTGCATGGGAGGAGTCCGATATATTGGAAATGATGCAACCGTTATCTGAATTATGACCGGATGGGAGTAGGAGGGACTTTTTAGTCTCTGGTTGTGAGGATGTACGGGTGGATTGGGTAATAGAGAACATAGATTCTGTGAGTAGTAGATTGGGTGTCTCTTTCCAGCCAAATAAGGAGGAGGTTTGGGTGGTGCTGCACTCGATTGTTGAGGGGAAGAATGGGGAGGGTGTTGGGTGCGGGGATACTAATGTAAGGAAAAAGGAGGAGTTAGTTCCATGGAAAGGGGGAAGGGAAGTTCGTAGTCTCATCTCTGATGTTAACTATGAGGGGAGGAATGGGGTGAGGAGGGAGAGAAGTAGTGGGAGGGGAGGAGGGAGAAGGAGAGGGGAAGGGACATCAATAGGTATTTAATGAAGTGCCATATTGTTTCATGGAATGTCCGGGGACTGAATGACCCGGAGAAGAGGAAGGTGGTGAAACTGGCAGTGAGGAAGTGGGGCGTGCATGTGGTTTGTCTGTAGGAGACAAAGATGGAGGCTATTTTTGATAGGGTTGTTAGAAGCTTTTTTTTTTTTTTTTTTTTGGGATTTATTAATTGGGAGGCGTTGAATGCGGAAGGAACATCAGGGGGTATTCTGGTGATGTGGGATAAAAGATGGGTGTCAAGAAAGGATGTGTGGAGGGGTGGGTTTTCCATTTCTTGTGCATTTGCAATGGAGGAGGACGGGTTTAATTGGGTGTTTATGGCCAGTGGATAATGGGGAGAGGCATATTCTGTGGGAGGAGTTGGGGCTTATGAAGGAACAGTGGAATCATCCGTGGTGTATTGGAGGGGACTTTAATGTGGTTAGATCCCTGGGGAGCGATCGACAGGAGGAAGGTGGACTTCAGCTATGATACAGTTTTCGGAGTTCATTGATGGACACCATCTTCATGATTTGCCGTTACAGGGAGCGACATTTACATGGGGTAGTGGCAGATTTACCAACCTTCTCACGTTTGGATAGATTTATTATTTCTGATGATTGGGAGGAGAAGTTTTCGGATGCAGTACAGGCAGCCTTGGCTAGACCGATTTCAGATCATATTCCTTTAGCCCTAGATTGTGGAGGGATGAGGTCAAGGATCGCACCTTTCCAGTTTGAAAATATGTGGTTGAGGGCGGATAATTTCCAGGGATTTGTGAGAACTTGGTGGGAGGGGAGTATGATAGACGGTAACCTGAGCTTCATTCTTGCTAAAAGACTTAGGGTGTTGAAGACTGAGATCGAAAGGTGGAATAAGGAGGTGTTTGGGAATCTAGAGTGGAGGAAGAATAGGGCTTTTGCAGAGATTGATTGTTTGGAAGGCTCGAGTGGGATTGGTGAGGAGCAGAAAAGTAGGATGGGAGCATGCCAGGTTGAGATTGCTGGGATTGCTATGGCGGAGGAGATTTCTTGGAGACAGAAATCTAGGGCTATATGGCTTAAGGAGGGTGATCGGAATACTAAGTTCTTTCATCGGTTAGCCAATGCTCATTGGAGGGGTAATCACATTGGGAGGCTCATGGTTGAAGTGGAGGCACTAATTAGGGAAGAAGATGTTCGTAGGGGGATTACTAATTTTTATCAGGGCCTATTTACTGAAAATGCCTCTTCGAGACCTCCGCTGGATGGTCTTCATTTTGACTCTATCTCGGAGGCAAGATGAGGTCGTGAAGGCACTTAGAAGCTGTAATGGGGACAAAGCTCCAGGCTAGATGGCTTTACAATTGGGTTCCTTTTGGAGAGTTGGGCAGTGGTTAGGAATGATGTGATGGGAACGTTCCATGCTTTTCATTCTTAGGGGCGGTTTGAAAAATCCTTGAATGCATCGTTTATTGCACTTATTCCAAAGAAGGCGGGAGCTGCTGATGTGAAGCATTTTAGACCTATTAGTTTGTTGGGATGCATTTACAAACTAATAGCTAAAGTCCTCCGCTTTGAGATTGAGAGAGGTTTTGGATGACATTATTTCGGATTCTTAGAACGCTTTTATAGGTGGGCGACAAATCCTTGAT